TTGTGTGTCCGTGTGTCCGTGTGTCCGTGTGTCCGTGTGTCCGTGTGTCTGCGTGTCTGCGTGTCTGCGTGTCTGCGTGTCTGCGTGTCCGTGTCTGTGTGTCTGTGTGTCTGTGTGTCTGTGTGTCTGTGTGTCTGTGTGTCTGTGTGTCTGTGTGTCTGTGTGTCTGTGTGTCTGTGTGTCTGTGTGTCTGTGTGTCTGTGTGTCTGTGTGTCTGTGTGTCTGTGTGTCTGTGTGTCTGTGTGTCTGTGTGTCTGTGTGTCTGTGTGTCTGTGTCTGTATATATATATATATATAGATAGTGTAACAAAAACAGCTCTCCTTCAGCAAGCCCAGTTGCTGTCTGTGATCGTGAGGAGAGGCTGACACTCGCCGGGATCGTTCACGTAGAGCTGCACCGCCGCGCTCATGGCAACAGCGAGCGGGTCAACATAGCCGGACATGTTCCTTGCCACCATCCCTGCGGTGTTGATGCTTTCAGCCTGCGACTGCGCGTTGAATACATTCCGGGCCAAACCCCGGACCTCCTGGTAGTAGTACGTGACCTCCTTCATTTGATGGATGGTGCACATGCTGGTCAGTTGGGGAATCCCTGCCCACTCTGCACCTCTGAGAATAGCGCTGTGGCTCGCTTCGAAAACATCGAGATTGCGGCGAAGCTCGTCCACGTTAGACTGCACATCAACTGTCTTCGCAATGAACAAGACATTCTTCAGCATCTTCTGGATGAGAGACCGCTGGCGCCCCGCGGTGTTTGCAAGCAAGCCATTGAGGCGAGCTCCTGCTGACTGTGCTGCATCGACAAGCAGGTTGACCAAATCATTGGAGAGATCAAAAAGCTCCTGGTTTTGAAGGTACAAAGAATAGAGGGTAGGTTGATCCACCGTGGGCAGGTCCACATTGTCGTTCAGCAATGCATACATTGACACCTTTACGTCTGTCAGCCTGGTCTCGATGGCTTCCCGTACATCATCGGTGGGGGCTGGGATGATCTTCAGCTCCGGGTTTCCCACATTGAGGTCACCAAGGGTCACTGCAAACAGGTCCATCCTCTGCCTCATTACAGCTTTGTGCTTCTCCACATCGATTCCGAGGGTCACCAACAGGAACTCATTGGTCATCATCTGGGACAGTGTACGTTGCCGCCCAGCGATATCGATAGTGATGCTCCATTCCTCGTCTGTGGTCGCATTACCTGTGACCAAGCCATTCTCGCAGACCAGCGTCCGATCACATTTCACCTTTGCTGCCGCACGAGAGATGCTAGTCTTCTGCGGACCTCCTGTAAATCGCGCGGCTTCTTTCTGAAAGCTCTAAACCACTCGGGGTTGCACTCAGACCACATGCAGGCTCGTGTCGTGTTAACTACAAACCGCTGCAAGCCGAGGAGCACAGGCACCAGCTTCAAAGCGCGTTCCGAAGGCACATTGGATGCATTGTTGCTGGTAGTAGAAGCCGTCACAAACGCACACGGAGACTTCTGCCGCGCCCTTCAAGATGGCTGCCGCAAACGCTCTGATGTTTCACTACGTTTCATGCGTTTCGCTTCTACTGTGGTGCCCCTATCGCTCACTGCCAAATGCAAGCCATGCAAGCCTCAAAACTCGTGGTCTGCCCCGGCGGACACATGGTGCATTGATGTTGGCCCTCCTTCGAGAATGGCGAATGGTACCAACAAGCTTGGGCATTCGCAAGGTAAACCGCACGCACTCGTCCGTAAGGCAGGCAGGCACGTTTTCGGAATGAGGAGATGGGGTTAAGTGCAAAACCAGCCACTTGGTCTGCATAGCTCCCGATTGGACACCTTTTGCCTCGCCGTCACTTTCAAAGGACCAAATTTCACCGCTTTCAATGATTAAAATCGTAATGCGCTAGCCAATCCATGAACTTGTATGAGCTATCACGGCTGGAAGACTTCTCGGCAAACAAAGTAGTCCGTGACAAGTTGCATTCGGACGCGCCCTGCATGTCCATATACTGACCTGGCGGAAAGCGGATGGCACAGCTGAAGCAGCGCACACACACACACACACAGTGTGACGACCCCCGAAGAGGTTAGTAGGTGCAATCTTCTCTCATCTCTCATCACATGCTTCATTCGCTCGCTCATTTGCAAACTGATTCCTCGAGTGAGACACTGTCACGCGAAATGTGACTTCGCAGGTACATGGGAGTGATCAATTCCCACTTCCTGGCCTTCTAGCACACGACTTCGTTGGCAGAGAGGCTGTGCTAGGGCCCCTCTGCCCCCTGCTTCTTCAGATTCTTGAAAGCGACTTCACGGCATGACCCCTTGTTATCAAAGTGTTCACACACACACGCATTCACACTCTCGCACTCCCGTTGAACGAGGCGAAAACTTCTGCATCTCGTGTAGGCAACGAGGCTACGAACCCGGAAAGCAGACCGGCCCCCCGAAGCACCTCAAACAAAAGATAGGCCTTATGCATCCTTATGCGGCGGTCAATGTAACGCCCCAGATCAAGACTGGAGCATGGAGAGATGGAGGCACAAATTTCGAAACACATCGCAGAAAAGTTAGCCCCGGCAAATTGAAAGGCATCGAGCGTGTCTGATTTGATGGCTTCTGACAATCATATCTCAAAGAATGCGAGATTTCACAGCAGGACTTCAATGCAAAAGGGCTGCTTACAATGACCATTGCGTCCCGAGCCTTTGCGGAGAGTGGCGTTCAGATTCTCAATCAAAGGGGAATGAATGACTACTAGAAATCAAGCGCAAGAGATGCAGGAGAAAAGGCAGGGACGGGAACATCAAATGTTGTGCAAAGGAGGGCTTTGGACATACAACTGCAACTTGTATTTAGCATTGTAGAGGCCAGCCGCCTTAGGCGGTGCAAGGTGCGCGGCTGATCGTGTTTCCACTGCTGGAGACATTGCTGCAACCCCAGAAGGTCAGAACACACAGTGTGGGCAATAAATTATCCAGGCGGCCGCGGAGAAGTGGGGGTTGAAACTACCTGAAGCCGAACTTAGCCCGCTTAGCTGAAGCTGCAGTGCGGTAGGTGACACCGCATTGGAACGCCACACATTGTAAGGCCACATATGGCCACATTGTGACGCCACATTGTCTGACGATGCATTGTGGGGTGATTCTACGTTGTCTCCTGACGTCGCATTGCAGCTTTGAAGGCGAAGTAGCCCCTGACGCCGAGTTGTGAAGCCGGCTAGCAACAAACGAACTGTCTGCTCGTCCTTACGTTCCAGAGCAGCGGTTGATTGGCCGGAATTCAGAAACAGGGATGTGGTTGATTGGCAGGAATCCAAAAGCAGAGCTGTGCCAGAGCAGCGGTTGATTGGCCAGAATTCAAATGAGCTGTTCCAGAGCAGCGGTTGATGGTCGGAATTCAAAAACAGGGCTGTTCCAGAGCAGCGGCTGACCGGCCGGAAGTCTAAAGACAGAGCTGTTCCAGGGAAGCGATTGATTTGCCGGATCTCAAAAGACGGAGCTGTTCCAGAGCACCCGTAAAGCACTGCAAACCTGCCTAAGAGTATCGAGGCTGTGGTCGACAAAAGAGAATTGGTTTGCAGAGCTTTGTGGCTTAATATCGGAAAACTGCTGAAGTTCCTCAGCTTCATTATGCAATTCAGTCTACATTTTCGATCGCAAGATTGTAGGGAGCTTATGACATTGGGGTCAAGACTAGAAGGTACACAAACGTCCCACTAACAGCAAATCAGTTGCCAACAGCACATGTTGGAGAATCATCGTACAGGTCGGCACAGCATTGATTCTTGGAATAGTCTTGTAATTTCATGCCGAAAGCACGCATCTACCCCATGTTTTGTTCATGTCTCTGCATGTTCTGCTTGTTTGCACACTTCGTGATCTACAGGGACAGTGTTGTCTCGGGCATCCCGGGCCTGCAGGGCAATCCTGACACGTTGATGCTCGGGGGAAAGGCGCCTTTGTGCCAGCACCGCATGGACTGCATTGTGCTTTTCCAGGCGCATTTGCGAAGAAGCCCGGCTGACATTCAGCACATTGCTGCATCCCTCCAGTTGAATACCTGCGTCGAGGACCCGGCTACACCGCCGATGCCGCAAACCCTGAAAGCATCTGAAAGCACTGGACTGCCAGGCCAAGCGACTCACCCTCTGGGCACTGGGTGCAGCCCAGCTCGGTCACGAACACTGTTCCATCCGGGCAGCTGTCTCCGCGATCTTTGGGTAAATGCCCAGAAGAAAAATCGCAAACACCAGTGTTGCAGGTGAGACGGTGTGATGGGGCAGGGCTCCAAACGATGTCCTCCTTGAACTCGATCCCGGCATCTGTCCGATAGGCCAACTCGTTGAAGGCATTATCAAAGGTTCCAACCACCTGGCAAATCATCTGCTTGCTACTGAATTCAATGATGCAGCCCAAGTTTACCTGCGCTAAAGGGCCGCCTGGCGGAAAAGGATGATCCCGTCGCGATCGCCATGTGAAGGAGGTGATGTCACCGGATTGACTGAATTGAACTGCCGTACCCGCCCGGTAAGACCCATGAAGTCTATGGAGAGCGACAGATCGTACAGGGCTTGACGCGAATCTGCAGTTCGCAAGTCTGAAACAGACCTACAGGGTGCTCAGCAATTCTGCTCGGCATGCTGGCATAAGCCCTACAGTAAGATTTTCAACTTCCATGTACAGTCCATGTCCTGCCTCCCCCCATCCACCAAGTAGACGTGCAGGACATGTGCAATTAACCACAAGCCATCATAGAAGTATGCTGCCCACTGATGGTTGCAAGGGCCATTGCCATTTGCGAAGCCCATGCATTCTGCGGTATAACCTGCATAGATGTCGGCAAGGGTACGCCCAGAGAGGGCATGGATGCTCGTCGTTTTTTGCATGGGCCCGCGATCAAGCGCAAGCATACCATATGCTGCACTGCGCAATTCCTCCGCTGTACAAGGACAGTCAGCGGCACCAGCTCGCTCCAGAATGAATCCCGGATTCCACCAGCCAGAAGCCACAATGAAGATGTAGTCTGGGGAGAACATACTTCTCTTGTGACTTTGACATAACAACATGGAACCAGTGTCTGCGTACAATGCCACGAAATTGATTCGGGAATCAGTCCGCTGGATCGCGGACAAAGCTGCTTCAGCATCAGGAATGTTGCCCTGGCTGGTGATCGCGCTGGTATGTAGAATCACCCATGCATAAGTCCCGGCAGCCACGTCTGCAGCCACCAACTCCAGAAACGAGTCCTTCGCAAGGATATTTATGGAGTTGTAACCGTGCCTCGGGAGCATGTGCACCGCCAATATCAGAAGGCAGACGAAGGCAGACTGCAAAGCGGAATTCGCAAGTGCAAAAAGGTGTGGACCCTTTTGGACCCAACTCGTTGCATCCTAGCAGCACAACGCCAACTCTGTGGAAGTTCATCAGCTTCAGGAACTCGTGAACAGCCAAGATATTGAAACGATAGGACGGTGCCATGCGTGTGAAATACGGGTACCGAACCTCAGGGCAGCATGCCAACGTTGTTGCGCTACAGTGGTTGTATTTACCACGACTAAAATTAACATCAGCTCGGGTTCGGAATCGCTCAAGCTTGTCGAAGTGCAACCCGGCCCGACCTGCAATCCACGCGACCGAGCTGTGGCAACCGCGAACGTGATGGGCTGAAAAATGCAAGCTGGGACATGGCCAACACAAAAACATGTGGCAAACTGCCTGAAGAACATTGAAGAAGGAAGCTGCATCATTGATAGCTTCGCATGCAGAGCTGCAGGAGTCACCTGGTTTGGGGATTGCCACGAACATTGCCATGCACCGGCAATGGCAGTCCGTGTTTCAGTGAGTGTGGTACACCCCACCGACAACAAAGCAAAACCGGAGCTTGCAGCCTTAAAGACAATGCTGCCGATGCTGCCGAGCAACCAAATATGACATGTTTCGTCACGCCGGTGGACATTGCCGAAACTGTTGCCAGGGTCGCCTCCCTTTCCGAGCATTTCGTATCCACCAAAAGAACATTGAGCCGGTAGCCTGGCAGACTACATGTCAGACAATCGAAACTATGCACATGGCAACGTCCAATATTCAATAGCGGCTAAATCGGAACTGCCTGGCAAAGTGTTGCTGCTCTCGATGTCTTGGGTGGCTGCCGCAAGTGCTGGCTCAACCATGGTCATGAGATCGCCTGTCGAGCCGCTGTAGGGGCTCATCACCTCGGCATGAGGCGGTGGACATTCCACGACGGCCACGACTTGGCATGTGCCTAGTGAGCCCATTATGCCCATCCCGTCTCAAATCCACATCGCATGTAGGAAGAACCATGTATGGAGAGAAAAAAATTCTACCTCGCAAACCCATTACTAGAGCCATGAATGCCGGCAAGGCTGCCACCACGTTGATGTCCGTGGCATTCGCACGGGCCTTGTCGACGGCAAAGAACAAACACAAGAACCCATGCCATCAGGCCGAGTGGCTGGATTTGGCGTTGGCATGATCTGGCAGTTCGTGCTGTGGTACCTTCACACAAACATTGCCCCACGCGTGACAACTGCCGATGTCAACCGCGTGTTGGTTGTAAAACTATCGTGCACATCCAATTCATGCCCAGGTGCCGGCACGGCCATTGTGAATTGTCCGCGGCCGTGCACAAAGATGGGCACGATGCGCTTGATGCCCGGGTCACCAGACTCAGCACAAGCCAACCTCAAACACTGGCAAAGTGCGTTTACAGTAAAGGCAGTAAAGGTGTCATGTTGGCAGAACATGTCCAATGTCGTGTTCATTGTTATGTCGTGGAGCAAGCCCTCGAGATATCTCGAGATCCTACGCACATGTGAAAAGCCATCCGTGTTTGTGCAGCGGCCGTGGGTGAAGCCGCATTCAGCAACGGCAGGCGGTGCGGAGGACTGCTCCTGTGTGCGCGGCGGCGCTTTGGACTGCGGGCAGCGCGCGCAGCTGGACGAACCGGCGCAGGAGGGACTCATGATCCGCGCTCGACTTCAGCCGCGAGGACGCACAATCGCCGGGCCCGCCAGGGCTACGCTATCGCGCTCAGCCGCGCCGCTAATCGGGCTGCCGTCGACGCCCTCCCACGCTACCTGGACCCACGCCCGCTCCAGCACAAAGCCCTGCGAGCGAGCAGGCCGGTGCGCGCGCAGGCCGTGAAGTGTTGGCCAGCGCGCCAGCTCTGGCCCGGCATCCGTGCATCCCTTTGCCGCCGCATGACGCACGCGTGATGGGGAGAATGAAGCACAGCCTGCGCCGCAAGGCCACGTGCATGCCCACGGGCATGCCCAACAAGCCAGATAAGCCAGGATCGGCCTGCAGCATTGCCCGTGAGCTCGGGTCGACTGCCAGCAGCACAACGCGTTCTCGGAAAGCAGTGTGAAGTGCGAGAGATGCAAGCTGCTGCCAGCCGCGTCCCCACACGCCGGGCTCAGCCGTTGCAGAGGGCGCTGCAGAGAGTGCTACCGGCTGCAAGCAGTCTTCCCCGGACGGGCACGCCACCCAGCCGATTGCCCGCAAGTGCGCAACCGCCCTTCCAGCCGCACGTATGCTGGGCGCGGCGCAAGTTTCGCTCTATGGCACCGCTGTTGGAGGACGAGCAGCGCGTCTGCCCACGCTGCCCAGGCGGAAGGATCCTGGCAAGAACGCGATTATGTCTCGCGCGAGCTTCCACGCATTTGACCGAAGATCCAACATGAATGCGAGAGCGCGCCATATGGCATAGTCGTGCGCACGCCCCCGGCAGGTTGCAAAGCAGGTGTTGCGCTCGATCACACGCACTGTGCAAATCGGGGAGCTGCGGCACGTGGCGCACCAGATTGAGCTGCTTGCGCCTGGACGTAATCGGCGTGCCCGATGGGAAACCCCGCGCGACGGGGGCGTGAAGGTTGGCTGCAGTGCTGGTCCGGCCTCCTCGCAGTCGCGGGCGGCCATTCGCACCTGCACGTACAGCATCCCTCCCTGAGCTGACGCTTGGGGGGGCGACATTTGCGACGCAGGATTTGCGCCCAACCTGCATGAGATCCTCGTTGAATCTCGTTGAGGTCCGGGACCGCTCCTCGCCGATCGCCATTCTATCTTTCTTGTTTCTTTGAAGGGGCGGTTATTAATACTCCTGTTATATCGCCCCTTTAGAACCCCCAATATATTGGGCGATTGTTTTTTTTCCACGCATCTTTTTCCGCAGGTCGTCCCAAGCCCCGGTCCGTGTACAAGCCTATGCGTCTGCTCACGCTGCGCGCGGCGCGACTCGGCTCGTGGCAGGAGCAGCAGTCCAGCGCGAATCCGCAAGGACTTCATGCAGCACGGGCTCAGGAAGCCGCCGCCTTGGCACTCCCCGTGCAGCGGCAGCTCCAGCGGCCGCCTACCTCGACACCGAAAACAACAAGGCGGCATCGGCGCGCCCTTTCCAGTTCAGGGTAGGTCTGGCGGCGCTTGCGCTGGGCGGCTTGCATTGTTCATGATCCTTGCCCGGTAGATCTGCTTGTACGCCGCAGGTGCCGCACGTGCGTACGCCTCCAGCCGGCGGATCTGGTCCAGGATGGTATTGGCAGTGTTCACTGCGAACATCTGTGCAGATGGGGCCTCACGCCAGCGCTGCATGATCAACTCACGTGTCGTCAGGTTCCCAGCGATGCAGATGGCCAACTGCTCCCGGTTCGTCGTCTTGATTGGCTCTGGGTCAATTGGGCTTCCGCCCAGGAAACTGCACGAAGCAGAATACGCGCCAGGATTCTTGCGAATCATGTCGGCCAGTGCTCGTGCCTTGCTGATGGCTGCGCGGAGCTTGTCGACACTAGGGACAGAAAGGTCTCGATTTGGTGCGATCCGCTCTCTGCATGGGCCACGACTGCGCAAGTGGCCGGGACGCTGAGGAGGTCCCTGCTCACGTGGACCGGTGCTGTGCCCTGGGCAATCGACACAGCCATCGTCTCGACCACCTCAACGACCGATCTGGCTCGGTTTGTAAGGTAAGGGTATCCCTGAGCTGTGCACCCCCTCGTTGGAATACCAGTGCTTCGGCGTATGACCGCAGGCGCCAGGTGTTCATGCTCACTTTCTCGTAGTAAGACCCGGCCACGATGTTGTCTAGCGACGGGGCGTATGGGAGCCAGCATGCGTCCACCGCCCCAATAGTGGAAGCGACTTCGTCGGCGGTCCCCAGGAGCCCCCAACGCGCTGCGACCGCTCGGCTGCACGCCCTGATCTGCTGGATGTCTGCAGAGACACGGCCATTTGCCACCATTCTGGAATACACAGCAGCGTACAACCTTCCAAGGGTGTCCCATTCACCTTGCATATCGATCCCGTACGCGCAGCCTGCATAGTAGCCAAGTGTGTGGCCGAGGAAATCGCGAGGCAGGTCCGATCCAGCTGTGGCAGACTCACCGTCTTCGAGCCCTTCAGACACCTTTGCATCGTGTTCCACCAGCCAAGTCATGCCCGCCGCATAGTTCTCGTTTTTGAGCCTCTCGGCAGCCGATTCGCGCCACTCCTCTGTCGGCTCCTGGTCGTAAAGCGACTCAATCATGGCCTCAATGCTCTGCACCACACCAAGCGCCTTTTCTGCATCTCGGCGATAGTCTCCTTTGGGCCTGTTGTTCCACACCACCGGGTCCTTTCCTTTCTTTGTGCCTTTCGCCGCTGCATCGTCAAACCTCTCGAGGAGCTGTCGCTTGACCTCGGCCTCCTTCTTTGCATCGCCTAGCTGGTCCATCAGGGTAGCACGCCTTCCGTTGATCTCCATGATCAACGCGCGCTCCATCTCCTGAACCTTCTCCACGATTCGGACGCGCGCCTCTTCCGGTGCCACCGGGACGACGAAGCGTTCCAGCTTGTCATCGCGGCCCAACCCTCTCACGAAGTAGGTCGAGGCCCTCTCACTGAATCCACCACCAAGTGCGGCCGCGGCGTTTTCGATCAACTCCTAGGTCTTCCGCCGCAGCGCTGCCACCCGCTCCCTGCACGGCTCAGCAGCCGCATAGTTCGTCTCGTCCAACATTCTCTTCAACTCCGCCGAGATCTTCGTCCCATCACCCATGTATTTTTGGGGGAGCCACGATGCGGCGATGGCTTGGAGAGTGGAAAGGGCTGCCAACTGCTCCATGGTCCTTTCTGCTCCAAACGGATTCCCCGTAGTTGCACCGATGGGACCTAGTGCAAAGAGTCGGGCGTACTCACACTGGTCGTCAACCGTCCCTTCGAACTTCAGGGAGGACATGCAGTCCTTGACCGCGATTGGCAGGGCGGCCAGGTATCTCGTGAGACAGCTTGGCAACCACGAGGGCACGAATTTCCACATCGATTTTCTGTGCGATTGCTGCACAGCACTTCGACATCAGGAGCGACAGCTGATGCAGCCACGGCGAGCTTGGGGTCATGACTCCCCTTTCGCCTCGCGTAAACAGATGTCCCAGCGACCCCAGTCTCTGTTGCCTCGTCTTCGCTGATCAGGGAATCTGCAGAAATTGGCCTGGTGACCCTCCTGCGGCTGCCGTGTGCGGCCGCCAGATTGATGTGGCAGATGGAGATCGGCTTGCCCTGGCCCTCGGCCCAAATGGTGTCAAGCACCTGTTCTCTCGTCATCTTTCCTGCGATGCTGCCCCTCTGCGACGCAGCTACAGGTGCTGCGCATCAGCTTCAGCTAGCGGGTACCTCCCTCCTTGTAACTGTACGCACACTTGAACAGGAGCATCGTCGTTCTGAGCCAGGATCTCATCAAGGAGTCCTCGATCGGTGAGCGTCATCGGAGCTGCCGCCGCTCGGAAGTATGTCGGGAAGGCTTGGTCAATGTTGACCTATGATGGAATCGAAGGCTTCCTTGAACTTCTCCAAGCCGACGTCCTGCGCCCCTTCCAAGGACTTCTGGATGGCCAACGGCGATCCCATCAGGCCGAGTTCCCTCCATCGCGTACGGCAGGCCGCTGCATCCCCCTTGTTGCCGACCATTGCGGCAAGGCCGTAATACACGGGGGCGTAGGACAATCCTTTGTCGGCATCTCATTCATTCGAAAACACGATGTTGGCCCAGAGCATGGATGTGACATCCGCCAACGCGTGGAGTGACTTCGTGGGCTCTGGGACGCATACATGTATGGAGGAAGCCCTCCACGCTGCACGCTCGCGCAGTCCCGACCGCTTCTTGGACTGTGAAGAGCTGTTTACCAGGGGAGGCCATCGCAAGTTGGACCCCGGAACCACCACGAAAGCCAGGCAGATCGCTGATGTCGGACTCTCCAACTCCCGCGAGTCCCATCTCGCGGCGGGCGTTCCTGACTTGGTCCCTGGTGATCCTTCCGAGGCATTCTCCGTCGAGGCAAATGTGGTCGAAGGACTCAATCGGGAGGCCTTCATCGAATGCCGTGTCGTCGATCTTCCCCTCAACTGCCTTGACAACAGTCCGCAAATCGTTCACCGCCGTCGGTACGCTTCAAGTCGAGAGCTTCAGGGGAACCGGGACCGCGGTCCTGGACCCTCTACTGCAAGCTCGCGAGAGAACTCCCCACCCTCGTGGGTGAGGGAGTTCTGTTGTATCGCTGCTGTGGCGCTCTGCAATGCGTTGGCCAGCGCTGTGATGCGCTGTGTTGTCTGCGTTTTCCGGGTGGTCACATCGCTTTGGACCTTGTCCAAGACGCTCGCAGCGACGTTCATCCCGAGGCAACTGACACCCCAGCGGGTGTGTTTAAATGAAGCTTGAGCCAAAATGGCATTATTATTAGTATTACTATTAATTACTATTGTTGTTGTTATTGTTATTGTTATTGTTATTGTTATTGTTATTGTTATTGTTATTGTTATTGTTATTGTTATTGTTATTGTTATTGTTATTGTTATTGTTATTGGTATTGTTCTTGTTATTGCTATTGCTATTGTTAATGTTATTGTTATTGTTATTATTATTACTATTATTCTGATTATGATAAATAAGCAGTAGTAGTAGTAGTAGTAGTAGTAGTAGTAGTAGTAGTAGTAGTAGTAGTAGTAGTAGTAGTAGTAGGAGTAGTAGTAGTAGTAGTAGTAGTAGTAGTGGTAGTAGTAGTAGTAGTAGTAGTAGTAGCAGTAGTAGTAGTAGTAGTAGGAGCAGTAGTAGTAGTAGTAGTAGTAGTAGTAGGAGTAGTAGAATAGTAGGAGTAGTAGGAGTAGTAGGAGTAGTAGGAGTAGTAGGAGTAGTAGGAGTAGTAGGAGTAGTAGGAGTAGTAGGAGTAGTAGGAGTAGTAGGAGTAGTAGGAGTAGTTAGGAGTAGTAGGAGTAGTAGGAGTTGTAGGGGGAGTAGTAGGGGGAGTAGTAGGGGGAGTAGTAGGGGGGGTAGTAGGACGGGTAGTAGGACTGGTAGTAGGACTGGTCGGACTAGTAGTAGGACTCGTAGGACTCGTAGTAGGACTCGTAGTAGGACTCGTAGTAGGACTAGTAGTAGGACTAGTAGTAGGACGAGTAGTAGGACTAGTAGTAGGACTAGTAGTAGGACTAGTAGTAGGACTAGTAGTAGGACTAGTAGTAGGACTAGTAGTAGGACTAGTAGTAGGACTAGTAGTAGGACTAGTAGTAGTACTAGTAGTAGTACTAGTAGTAGTACTAGTAGTAGTACTAGTAGTAGTACTAGTAGTAGTAGTAGTCGTCGTCGTCGTCGCCGTCGTCGCCGTCGTCGCCGTCGTCGCCGTCGTCGCCGTCGTCGCCGTCGTCGCCGTCGTCGCAGTCGTCGCAGTCGTCGCAGTAGTCGCAGTAGTCGCAGTAGTCGCAGTAGTCGCAGTAGTCGCAGTAGTCGCAGTAGTAGCAGTAGTAGCAGTAGTAGCAGTAGCAGCAGTAGCAGCAGTAGTAGCAGTAGTAGAAGTAGTAGCAGTAGTAGCAGTAGTAGCAGTAGTAGCAGTAGTAGCAGTAGTAGCAGTAGTAGCAGTCGTCGTAGTAGTGCTAGTAGTAGTAGTAGTAGTAGTAGTAGTAGTAGTAGTAGTAGTAGTAGTAGTAGTAGTAGTAGTAGTAGCAGTAGTAGTAGTAGTAGTAGTAGTAGTAGTAGTAGTAGTAGTAGTAGTAGTAGTACTAGTAGTAGGTGACACGCCCTTAACTGATCACGTGTTTTCTTGCGTTTTCCTTGTTTTTTTGCCTGCTTGGGGCGGGGGGGGGGGGATAATAACGTCATTCATATTGCATGCCTAAAACACCTGGTATTTACAGTGTTTTCGCCTCTTTCTGCAACATACTTGACAAGGAGGTGGAACAAGATACTTTGCCACAAGTCTCCATGCCTTTCGCGACCAGCACTTTTCTTTCCGGCGTTTTGCCTCTTTGCACAAAATTATGGAAGGGGTGGGGGGGGGGGATAATGACGTCATTCATATTGCATGCCTAGAACACTGGTATTTACAGTGTTTTCGCCTCCTTCTGCAACATACTTGACAAGGAGGTGGAACAAGATGCGTTGCCAGGCGAGAAAAACAGTGGAAGCCCGAAGCCCTCCCAAAAGGCAGGGCGAAACAAAAGGAAAGAGCAAAAGTGGTGACAAAGGCTTCCGGCACTTTGCTTCCTCTCGCAGGCCCACCTCGAGCCCCCGCAGGGATGCCGCAGCGAACCTGCCAGGGCCTTCCACCGACTCATCGAGGTCGACTGGGTCTGGTTCAAAAGCTATCGCCTGCAAGACGCCACCAAGCCCGTGGAGTAGGCCAACGTGGTCGAGGAGATGTATGCCAACAACCAAGGCCGCCAGACCGTGACGGAAAAGAATGTCGAGGTGCACCCGGCGGAGAACGTGTTCTTCAGCCAGACCGGTCCCGGCTATGCCATCCTGGACAGTGGCGCGACGAAGTTGGTGATAGGCGAGCTGACGTGGCAGAAATGGCTTAGGCTCTTCGGACGCTGTGGAGTGGAAGCCACAGCAAAGAAGTCTGTGAGAGATTATGGACACTTCGTGATACAGCTCGTAAAGAAGATCCAGGACGACAAAAGGCGAACGCGAGGCTCATCCTTCAGGGCTTCCGGCGCGTGGATGTGACCAGCAAGAAGTTGGAAACAGAATCGCCGACATTGTCCCCGAAGCCTCATCATGCTGCTGCGCTGCCAGATGGGGTGGAAGATCTTCAGTGCCGATGTGAAGTCAGCTTTCCTGCAATTTCACGACGTAGATCAAGAAATCAGCCTGTTCTCCGTTCCCAACCGTAACATTCGGAAGAAGCTCGCGCGCTTGATGGGCCTGAAAGCCTTCCAGATTCTCCGAATCTTGAAGCCAGCTTTTTTTGTTTTAGCCAGCTTTGGGAAATGTGAGAGCCCCCAGGCAGTGGTACACCACCGCGGATCGCGAAAGCAGGCAGGAGCTCACCTTTGCCAGGCACAAGCTCGACCGATGCGTGTACCTCAGCAGGCAAGCCCAAGAGGGTGACGATCCCGTCTGCGGGTGTTGCAATGGTCATGGATGGCATTCTCGGCGTCCACGTGCACGACGTAGTCGGTGGAGGCGAACATGTGAATGCGAAAGAAGACGTGCAGGACGAGGGCCAGCGTTTGCTGCACCGATGTTTTTTTCCGCACTCCTTTTTCCGCCCGCAGTCAGGTGTCCCGGCGTCGGCGCACGCAGGGATGCCCTCACAGCCTGCTGGGCGCTGGCGGAAGGTGGCCTACCAGAAGCTCCCCGAGCGGAACCTCGTGGCCGTCCGTCGGCAGCTCGAAAAGATCGAGAAGCGAGCAGGCGTGCGCGCGCAGGGCGGCGAAAGATGCCAGTGCCGTTCAGCGCCGCATCAGCGCCGCATCAGCGCTTGCCTCGCCCCTGCTGCACACCACGGCGCCCTCTGGCGAGCCCGCGCCCGCGCCAGCAGCCGAAGAAAGGTGAGCGTGGGACGGTTGATGCGTCCGCCGACCTCAACTCCGACCACAACCAGTCGGCAGCGCCGCGCCTGTTGGAATTCCGGGTAGGTCCGGTGCTTGCGGTCGATCGGCCCGCGGACGCGGCTGGCCATCACGGCGTATGGAGCTAACGATCGTCGCGTCAACGGCGATCTGCGCACCCTGCCAAATGGGGAGGCCGTTGGCCACCACCTCGATCGGCGCCCGCCGGCCGCTGGCACATCCAGGTTGAGGTCACGCAGGGCGACATGGACGGCGACTCGGGCGCCTGCTTCTCTACAGATACGAGCCGCCGCCTGCTGAAGGGGGCCTGCTTTCCTGGCCAGCACACCCACTTGCGCGGAGCGGCGGTCCCCGTAGACGTCCAAGCCGCCACCACAAGAGGTCTGCGGAGCAACATGATGCGGTACTCCTCATCCGGCACTCTGGTATTCGAGGTGGTGGGGAAGGCCGTGAAGGCACAACTCGCGGCCTCCCCTGCCTGAGACAGCAGCAACGCCCGAGACGAGCACAGCTCCCCCTCAGCATGGGCGGACTGGGACTCGGGTCTGCGCAGAAGCAACGCCACTCGGCTTACTGGGGCTCGTGGGCGGATACCTTGTGCACGCTGGGCGAGCACCAAGGCGTGCTCGCTGACCTGGTTCGCCCGCTACGCGCCCGGCACACCCCCGGTTTCCCCGCGCCCACTTGGGCCAATTTGCTTGCGACGAGACCTGAAACAGCGCCGACGCGCGCGCCATGACCCTGGCGGATTCGGAAGACCGGGCTGGCAACACGCGGCCACCACTGCCACTGACAAGCGCAGCCTCGCGAGGCAGCGCACGACCGCGGCATCATGCTTGGCGGCGAAGTCTGCCGTGTCGGAGGGCGGCACGGTCCGTACCAAGTAAGGGCATCGAGGCGCTGCACAGTACAGCAGCACCAGCTACGCTGACTGCAGGTGGGGCACGTGCGGGAGTTGGTGGAGCAGGCGGGCCTGCTCGCGCAAACGCGAGCTTTTCGGCGACGAACGCCCGGCTTCCGATAGCTTCCCAAGACCACCAAGCCTGCTGGGCCTCTGCGAG